GAGCACTACATATATAATTTTATATTTGGCTGACCAGTAATTGAATTAAATACCTTAAATCGGATCTTAAAAACAACATATTAATACGTAGAAACAATATTCAACTTTTCAATACATGTAATTCTAATTTTCATTTGTTAAATATAATTTTTGAAACATTTGGTGTTCAGCAGCATGCCTTTATGCAAATTCAGGCTATGCACCTGATTATGAGAAACCATTAAAACACTATTAACATCTCACTGATGCACATATTTTGTTCACATTGAAAAATTATATGAAAAGTACAAACACTCACCTTCTTGTAAAGAAAGCTTCACCATATCACTGAAAAGGAACTTCACGAAAAGCAAAAACAAACCGGCAAACGCAAATCAATATCAAGAAGCTGAAAGTGTTATACCGTCAATTTTTAATTATTGTAAACCAGAATGCAGATGGTTCTGCTAAAAATTCATCAAGTTACCAATTGACACGGAGAAAAACTGGGTTATCAACGACTACAATAGTATATGTTTGTAATTCAAAAGGAAACAGAATTCCAGTTCGCGCTATTATTGATAACAACAGCGTATCCATGGATGCCCGCTTTGACTTTCAAATGTCGCTAGATACACTAAATTCAGAAGGAATTTCGTTTAGTAGCTAAAATTAAAAAAAAAAGTATAATCCATATTCCATAAGAGGTTTTGTTACTCGCCATTTTTTAAACTGAATCTTCATAAAAATAATGTCCCGATTTTTCTGCGGACCATAGAAACGAAAGCAAAATATTATGACATTTAGTATGATAGTCCTTAAATAAATTAAATTTATGCTTAATTTATGAATTAAGGAGCATTGATAATAGTGAACATTATTTTCATTAGTCTCCAAACATGTCTCTTAATTAATTTAGGACTCGCCTCTTGCCGAGGACTCGTTTCTTTCCCGAATAGTGATTGCTGTTGCAGACTGAATTTGCACTTAGATTCGCATTTACGAAATTTATGAGATATGTGTCGGTGCATCTCACGGCTTCGTATTTCATATTTATCGAAAACACTTTCCAATCTTAGAGGCAGTGAAAAAGGTAAATTAGCTGACAAAAAATGTGCACATGCATCTTAGCTTGGCAGCTTAAAGAAATTCATGCTATAACAGGAAGCAATTTTGAAGGTTTTAAATTTTTATCCATGCCTTCTCGACTCTCTCTAAAGCTGTCAAATTATGAAGTTGAGTGACACGAAACCAACCTTACACTGCTGCAAATGAGGTGGTAAGGGTCATTTACTAAGTAACTTTAGAATAAGGCATGGAAAATAAGACTTGTAAGGTATTGAAAAGCTCCATTTCTTAAAGCACTTTAGATTTCTGCAATGAACTGGAAGATACTGGAACTAATATTACCATCATCCGGAAAGATATATGTCAACAGTCGGAAGAAGAATTCATCTGGGCCCCGCCCTGCATTAGCCTCCAGATTCTGTCCAGATTATGTATTAGGGAACTCATTTGCCAAATGATGTTGATGAGGAATTATCGTCCACCAACTTATAGTTCAGACGCCACTGTAGAGCCTTTAGGTTATTTTGAAGCAGAAGATGTCAAAAATGTGTGGTGCCTCGCTGGGACTCGAACCTGGACCAAAGAATATGTATCTTTAAGAAGGAAAACTTCTGCACAACAGGAGTATCGCAGTCCCAACATAGAGGGAAACAGCTGAGCATACGCGAACTGTCTGTCGTCAAACCCGGCGTCGAAATTCGGAGGTCACGTTTATCAAGAATCCATACAACGAATATCGTTTAAAATTTCTTTAAACTTTAAATGAAAATATTTTCTTTCACAAGTAAATTAATTAATTAGTCATTATGAGCAAAAAAAGTCTGAAAATCCGAGTTTAAATTACTGCGAAAAGTCAAAAAAGAAACGTTTTGTCAAAGAACCTTTCTTTTTAACAAGTGTTCTTCAATTTTCTGTACACATCGCCGAGGCGGGAAATTCTCGCCTCCAGGTTCCGTCGCCAAATGCCTTTGCGAATTTTCATTCCGCTTTTCAGCGCCGTAATAGCAAACTGGTTTACATTACGTCTATGGAACCTTTCCTTCTTTACATGACGTTCTTTGCCTGGACCTCTCGAATATGCGCCGTGTATGCTACCGTTATACCATGAAGGCATGCTGGAAGGAGTGAGAAAATGCCATATAATCTAATATCTCCAGCTTATTAAAATCAGATGGGCCAAAGACTGATTCTTAAGCTCCAAAATATCCAATTTCAACCTATCAGAGTTTTTCTTAATTTATTCATTTAACGAATTCTTGACATTATGGTTCAGGTATGTAGTATTTCAATAAAATTGGTTTGACCAAAATGTTTTCTAGCTACCTCTCTCTATACCTGTCAGACACTGTTTTAGAAATTTGTGTTCGCACTGGACTTCAGAGGGTTGGAATTCCCTTACCCTAACGTTAACAAAAACAACTCTCTAAAGGACGAAAGGTTTCATCAGGAATACCAGTTGATAGAAAGAGAAAATGATGCTTCTTTACCTCAGCTTTAAAGGTTTCTGAATTTAAATCTTCCCTTTGAGGCAGACACGTTATATTCACAGAATGTTATAAAAATATTTATGAAATGTATCTAAAAATTGCTGTGCATTAAGAGTCTTTGAATGGAAAGGAAGCTCTAGGTATAGACTAAAGTAAAAACAAGGGAAGCATTTAGTCATGGTTACAAACTGGTGGTACAGTTCGACTAAACAGACCAAGGGTAATTTCTTTGATTGCTCGAAAAGTAAATTTTGAAATTTGAATAAATCAGGGGAAGATCCTTTTTTTTTTTTTTTTTTTTTTTTTTTTTCATTTTTCATAGAACAAGTGTCTTATGAAGGAGGAAAAATGATGGAAACTTAACCGACGTTGAAATTGCTTTTCTAGAATGGTTTCAAGCTAAAAAGCAAAATAAAAAAAGGTTCTCTTTTACTGCTTTCTAAATGTAGGAAAAAACCTTATGTTAACTGAAATAAGACTCACAAACTGGAAATAGCGAAATCTAACATTTTTCATCAGAAATTGTGTGGTAAGAAGTAAAAAGCGGATTGTCATGCAACTGATAACTGAATCAAGACATTTAAATTGGGCTGCTAAATGAATACAAGCCACACAAAATTTATAATGTAGACGAAACTAAACTGCGTTATAGAGCATATATTAATATTTAAAAGTGGAACAGAAGTTGGTTTAAGAAGCTGAAAGAATAAATTATTGTGTTATTAACGTGCGGTACTAACACAAGAATTAAGGATACAGCACTGTTTATTGACAAAAGCAGAAAAATTCGAGATTTGAAAGGAAAAATATACTTTTAACTTACCATACCTGTAACAACAAAAATCACCTTTACTGATTTTCATTTGAAATCAGACAGCTAACTAAAAAGTGAAAAAATTATTAACTGACTAATTGTGCAGCAGGCACACCTCTGATCTCTTCCAGGAAAATATTAGTATCCCCTGTATTAATATCTTTCTGAAAATACAATTACTATCATTCTACCTTTAATTTTAGGGTATTATAAAAGTTTTCAAATGTCATTACAGGAAGATGTTTAGCAAATGATGAACAGAATTGCATTTTGTGAAAATGCAAACTCTCTGGAAAAACCTCGATAACTCTGTTAGAAGCTATGCATATTTTAGTCAATGCATGGTGTTAATCTCTTAAAATTAATTGAAAACTATTTTCTAAAATGTGGATTTTAGGCAGAAGAAGCCTCAGAGGAATTACAAACTATAGCTAATGTTTCAAACATCACTAAAAGAAGTTATTAAGATTCATCTTTAAATGTCAAAGTAGTGTCAGTGCACCACAATATTGAGACAACGTGTATACAAACTGACAATCAACGTATTAAAAGAACTGAAGAAACTGACAGTGAAAGTAATGCAGAGAAAAAGAGATATGTCATCCTCAATCGAATCTAGAAAAGCACTGCCAATTCTAAGAAATGTTCTTGAGCTGAAAGCTGCTGTTCAAAAAAAGGCTTCAGTTTTACGGAGCAATGTGAAACAAACACGGATAGAATAGTTGTTTATACGACATAAAATTCACGAAGAACGTGATTATAAAAAGTATTTTTATAAACAATTTAATCATAAATTTAAATTTGCTCAAATAGTATAATTTTAACACTAAGATTTCATTATTAATTTTGTGTTAATTTATGAATTTGTTAATTTTATTTGAACAGTTTAGAACTTATATAAAGGTTTGTAACACACAGATAGACGTCTTCTGAACTCAGTCGCTTAATAAATTCAAATACTTTTGGAACAGAAGTGATTTTAATAAAGGACACATACGGCTATGTCAACGACCAATGATTCCAAAATAAAGGTCAGGTACGGGCTTTTGTGAATACGGTGTATATATATATATATATATATATATATATGAATATTAATTACAAATCACTTGAAACTTGTTTAAAAATATGTAAAAAATGCTTGCGTATACGGATATATACTAAGTTTCAATTAATATCAACAATTTAATATAATTTTAGGTTAAAATATTTTTCAAAATTAAGTTTAAATTAAGATACGTATATATTTCTAAAACATGTCTGACATTTTCAAAACATTTGCTTTCTTTTGAATAATGGAATCTGTTTCAATAGGTTTAAAATAATGTAGTTGGAGAGGGAGACATAACTTGCCTTTTCCGAGGGAAAGGAATTTTCAGTACAATCACGAATAACTGAATAACTACGAAAGTCATTCTTTAAAGACTTCTAATTTCTTATTCGTTTGGATCAAATAATGGCTGTCTCTTCTTGATATGCCTGTAGACAGATGGTATTGCTTAATGCTATGCTTTTGCTATTTTAGAGGAGTTTTTAAAATAGTACTTCTTTTTCCAAAGAACGACATGACACTGGCTTTCATTTAAATGTCATATTAACAGGTGGTAGGATTCCACTGGAGACTTATAAAATGCCAGTTTTAAAATATTGTAACACACAGAACGTTGAAGTTGTTGAAAGATGGCTACAGTAACTTTGATTATTCTCCTGATAGCAATAATTGCTGTCAGTGGAAAAGTAGTAAACCCCGTCCCTCACAGGTTCCCCTTTGCAAAATTGGAAACAATTACGGCAAGAGAAGATCTACCAGAAGGTAAATACACTTAAAATATTCTAATTTTCCTGTTTGAATACGAGTATTCTTCCTTAGTTTAAAATGTCTTTAAGAATATGCATAATCATTTGAATAACATCAGTTAAATTTACCGATCACTGTACTCCCTCTGATAGTAGTATTATAACTGCACAGAGAAAGCATCAAATGCTATACAAAATGTCGTCTTCTTAATGACTCAGATATCTTTTTCCAGTTATTACAGTATTTTTCTCACTAAATTATTTACATTGTAGTTAGCATCCTTAATATGCCGTTCAAACGATATAGGAATGGACGATATCGGTTGGGGAAACCTACTGCGGTACCAAAGAGCCTGGATTCGATCTCGGAGAAGACATAGACGTAAATTCTGTATCCCAATCAATAGGAGGTAACGGTGACCGCCAGTTAGGTGTCTTCATAATTCATTCCAACGCTTCCGACTTTGTAGTGGTGGGAAAAATTCTTAATGTTATTTATCTGGAATTAAAAAATGAAATAACAAAATGAAACTTCAGTTTGAATTCCGTTTTCTAAGTCTTCATTCCTAAAATTACTGTACCAGACGAAAAATACGTTCAAATCCATCAAAAATTTTAAAATACAAGAACGATATTTTTGCCGCGATGTATTCCGCGGACACCAGGCAAAATATGTATAAGACCTTCGCTCAGTGACAGTTCAAAAAATTGTAACCATGATTTTGCGGCTTGTTACACATGCAGGTTACAACGCAACATCTTCTCAAATATTATAAAATGCTCAACCCTTCAAATATTATAGGAAGAAAAATTCTTTTAGCTGTATTCCGAAAGATACATTAGTCATGGAGATTTTGGTTTCTTTTCTTGATATAACCATTATTTCCGATTTAAAGAATATCTTAAAATTTCAGTGATAGGGAAATAAAAATGACCTTGAATTATGTTTTAAATATAAAGATTAATAAATAGATAATTAACTGGTTTAAAATTTTACGTGTCTCAGAGGTGACTGAGTTTAAGAAAAATAGTGGAATTTCATAGTTAACATGTTACATAAAGTTCCTGGCAAACAATTTAATCGCTTCAGCGGTTATAGCTTTGAACTCCGTATGATCAACTCCTGTTCTTGAACAATATGGAATGTTCAATGTCAATGGTGAAAATAAATATATTTTACAAATTAGGTTTTACATTTTGCACTAAATAAAAAGCATCATCTCTCAGAGGAGAAGAAAACATTAGTAACTATTTTTCATCTCTCCATGGTAATTCCAGTTTTTTCTCTACAAAAATTCTTCTTCAAATATTAAATTAGATTTAGTTGGATTCTTCAGTGTTCATCAAAATCCATCAACATCAATAAATAATTAAAAAAATACTCTAAATTTTCAGTAGATGTTTAAATGCTACCTTTCAGTTTTGGACTCTGCGCTTTATCTTTCTTAGATTTCAACTCTGTATTCATACTTATGTTTGAATTTTATACTCTTAGAATAAATTTTCAAAACATTATTTTATATAAAGAGCAATTCTTATGAGACATTATCTTAGAGTAAGTCGTTTATTTAAAAATCGTGTCAAATTAAGTTAGAATATTATTTAAGTTTAAAACTCAGTTTTCTAAAAAAACATTATATTTAATGACTAAACGAGGATAAGATTATTTCCTTGAAAACTGCTCTTTCTCTTTTAACACGAATGATACTTTGCACAGGCTGGGTGGCGATTCTATCAGATGCCAAAGCATTGTCGAAAAAATAGCAATGAAATATTATCCGTAACTGCATCTTTCATACTAATCTCTGATTCATGAAGATTCAGTTCATAATGTTTAGGTTAAACTAAATTAGAAGAGAATGGAACTCAGTCAATAGTACATAATGCACAACAGCTTTCTTCGAGCCATTTTTTTTTGCAGTAAGAGAGAGCTGAAGTAGCGGTTATTCGTCTGAAATATAACGTAGTAAAATAGTATTTATAAGCCAGCCCATTATTAATGAACGGAGCATTTTGTGACATTCATAGTACCTAAGTAAAATGTTTTCAACATGATTAAAGAACTATCAACTATGTAATGCAGTAAGCATTTTAATAAGGGAGCTTGACATAGTGGTTTTATGTTTTCTCGCAGTCGGTCAGAGAGTCTCGTTTAGTCTCACCAGTCATGAACACAATGCAAAACGTGATATACTTGATCACCAAATTTCGTCCCATTTTAAAGAATTACCATATTGCTTTCATATCCTCACTATAACCGATAATGCGAATTCATCAGAGATACGTAGCATTAGTGGCTTTCATAGTATAAGGCAGCGGTCTCAGACCTAAATTGCATACGGGACAAATGTGCAATCTAAAAGCAGCTAAACAAAATATTAACAAAAAAAAAAAAAAAAAAAAAAAAAAAAAAAACATACATTTTGATTTTTAACAAAAGAATTAATTTTTTTTAAAAAACAAGAAAACTAAACATCTGAAGTTTCACTTACCCAATATTTTTCAAAACGTACATGAACATTAATAATAACATAAAAGAAAAAAGTTCAAATTTATATTTATTTCCTATCTGAAATCTAAAAGTTGGCTCCTGCAAAAAATATCTATTGATTACACTTTTTAACTCAAATGTATCTACAGCTAAATATTAAATTTCAGAGTAACATTTATTTATGACTCATATGTTTAATTACTCATTAAATAACTTGCTTTTAACCTTAATCGGAGAACCAGAAATTTTAGAATGCTGAAGCACTACCAACTAAATAGCAAACTAAATTCACTAACTGTACCAACATGGGTACTTCTTCCACCTAACTCTAATCATGAGACTATCGTATAAGCAGACAATGGCAAAGGCAAATCCCTAACCTACTCAGTCAATACGTACTTTTATGTCAATAGCAACTACGCACATGAAATCAATACGTTTATGTCTCTGAAACCATATGCACGGTAATCGCAACAAATCAGTAATTGAAATGTATTCGAAGGCCGCATAAAATTACTTCAAGAGCTGTATGCTTCCTGTGCGTTCCAAGGTTGAGATTATTAGTATAAGGTATGAATATCTTGACATCTTTTCTCACAAATTCTTTACCGCATTAACTGTGTTCTCATCAATCTGAACCAGCTTGGAATTCTTAAGTTAAAACTGGTTGCCGGTGATCCTAAGACGAACAATCTTTAACTGTAAATTCTGGTTCAATTATTCGTGATAAAGACTTTTCACAAACTTCTTCTTGAACAAAATTCATTGTAATTTCAAAGTATGGGAACGTTTGATCACGGCTGTCAATTTACCCACATTCGGGATTAATATCGTTGTAATGCTAAATTATATTTTTTTTATTTAGCTAAATTCGTTCTAAAATGAAATTTAAAGTTAGGTTTGTAAAGAGCATATTTTAACAATTATATATATATATATATATATTATATATATATTATTAAAAAGTTGTAAAAAATATTTATAAAAAGAATTTAAAAATAAACTATTAATATAATGTAAACTCTTTCAATAAAATGTATGGATTTAATTTGCCTTAACTTTTAGTTACTGGCTTCATTTTGTTTAGATATCTCATACAATGCATCTCTGTCTTACAGAATTGCAGGAAGAGTTGGCACGAGGAGAGTTTTGCGATTTAAAGTTGGGCTGCTTCAGTGACACAGCGCCTTACAATGAGCCAAGCAGCGAAAGACCTTCGTATACCGTATACTTGCCTGACACCGCAGAAAATATTGCACCCGAGTTTCGTTTCTTTTGTCCAGGACACACTGATACTCCTCAGAAAATTATGACATCTAGTTTTGATGCCTGGAAAGTAGCTGACAGCGGCTTCGATGCTTCTGCAAAAACAGTATTTATTATTCATGGTTACATGGGTGGCAATGCAGATTGGCCTCTGGTTAGTAGATATTTGATATAGAAATTAGTTTATTAATTTAATAATCGAGGAACGTAATCCGTCAATATCCCTGACGGAGTACTAAAGGGATCATGAAGTAAACGCTCCGAAATTTACAAGACTTTAGAGAAGGCAATAGCATCAGCATGCTAATGATCGCTCCCTTTCCCTTTCCAAACCAAATTTGATACGCATTAATCATTCGACTCGAAGGACCGGGAATTTCACCCCTTACAACAACAACAACGCATTAATTGTAAATTGAGAGAGTAGCATTGTGTCAGATCCGTGCCGAATATCAAACACCAATATTTATATAGTATAAGTTTATTACAACGACATTATAATAAGTGTACAGTCTACGGGGAAAATGAGGTGATTCTGTGGGATTATTGGGATTGAGGCAAAATTCGCTAAGGCTGTTTATCTAAGGAAAGCGATGCCTTTGTGAAGAGCCTTTTAAGAGAAACTGACTCGTACTTATGTCAGAGAAAGGAGAATCACGAAAAGTCCATGCAACCAACTCGTTCGCAAGAATTTTTACCTATATAGAATTACCCATATTCAGCAGTCTTATTATTAATTCACCGGTGCGCCGATTCTACAGGGGAAAATAAGTATTCAAATTTCAAAATATGATTTTCGAAGAAAACATATATAAAGCATATGATGGGTTGTTTGAGTTCACAGCAGTGCTCGACAGATTTGTTTCAGTTTTATGTTTTAAGATATGGTTGTTTATCTATCATTATAACTGGAATAATTCATTTATTTGAAATGTGATTTGTCTAATACCAATCAGTGCATCAAGCATCAAGACCATCAATTCGCAAAGGATGAACTTTCCCTTTGCTTTGTAAACAATGGTTTTTCACAATTAATGTGTATTTGATCTATATTCTTTATTTAAAACTGTGCACGTTTTTCTAATTTCATAATATTTATTAATTTTTGTAAGAAACTATTTCGAGAAAGGTTGCTTCTTGTCTTGATTTTGACCTCCTCTGCATGTAGAGATCTGTGTTAATCGAGTTTTGGGGAACTCAACATTTAAAATCCATCTATATATAATCTCATTATTTAATGAAATTAAAAAAATTGAAGAAAGAAATGAGAAATTTTTATTGAAATTATCATTTTCAAATTGAAATATTTTAAATTATTATGGCAAATTATTTATTTAATACAGTTCATGTGCATAACTGTACATCATTTTAACATTTATCCCTTTAATTTTCATAAGTTTAATGTTAACTTCATTTGCATTCAGAATTAGTTGCTTGCGTGACAGCCTGCTAATTACCATCCAGAATGTTAGGAGGTCAAAGACTTTCCAAGTAAGGATTACTTTAATGTTTTAAGATGCCCCCTTTTATCAAGAAACGAGTGTATTTCGGTTTCACTTTTTCAAGTCAGAAGAACGTCTACATATACTTTTGTATAAAGCAAAATCTCCATCCTAAATTCGAACTGCACATTCATGAGTCCAGTAGGCGATAAACAAGAAGTTTTAGGTCTGATGCTCAACCAGAAGGTCACCTTCCTCCCACATATACTATACTTGAGGAAGAAGTACTCTGAAATACTGAAACTTAAGGTTCTAACGAACTTCTCCTAAAGTAAAGATTGCTGCAAATAAATTACCATATGTTAATAACATTAGCATGTTCTAACCTGGACTTTAGCTCAGTGATTTATAGTTATCTTCATTATCTTCTTTGCTATTCAATCTAGATCATGTTCATCATCATGCTTTGAGGATATGTTCCAAAGATTGGCCTTTTAGATCTTTACGTATGTAACGCAGAATGCGGGGAAAACTACATTATGTCTTCAATATCAAGAGGACTAAATCTTTAGCCTTAACCCTTTCCGGCACGCTACCTTTTAAAGTCGGAGTTTTGATAAAAAAAGGTAGGCAGTCTAATTAGGCCTAGAGGAGTACACAAGTAAAATTTTGTGAAGATAGCGCTTATCGTTTTAATTCTGTAGGTGTGCCCAAAGTGGCACACTGATTGAATAAAGCTTCAAAAGGATGCTGAAACGAGCATTGTTGTCAATGAACTGACCGATGATATGCGGAGAAACAAATAATACAGACTCTCAGTTGTCCTAGATTTTCAGTGAGCCCGGTCTGGGCACACTAGGGTTAGCAGTTTGATTTTAGGCAGATCAGGTAAAACTTAAAACTAATATAGAATAAGGGAGATTAGCATACAGCCAAACATAACATAGAAATTTCTTTCAAACAATTCCTTTTATCCCTAAAAAATCTGGAAGATTTCTTTGAAAAATGAGGGTCTTAAAAAACTAAACATGGCTAAAATATATGCACTGGTTTGTGATGAGCCGCCAACTACTATGCATAAAGAAGTTTCAGAGTAACCTATAGTAACCTATAAATCCTTTTTCATTCAAAGGAAAATTTTAGGTGGGTCCAGGCCGGACATACAGTGTCGCAAAGGGTTAAAGGCAGACAGCAACTGACGGAAAAGCGCGAGTGAAATAAGGTAGCTAGAAGTCTCCCTCTCTAACTTGGATAAAAACCACAACTTAAATACTTAAGCTAAATTTAACTATAAACTTAAGTACCCGTGAGTACAAGTTCCTTTACGTTTGGTTCCTACACATGTCTGGATAAAAGGTAACAATTTGGCCGGTATCACAGCAAAAAGTGGTGTGGAATTGTCTAGTCAGCTCCTTTCTTTTGGTGATATATGGGAGGTCATCAGGCAAAACATCTTGAATATATGGCAGCTACTCGGGGACGTTCAGTTTCATAACAAGCTGAATATGATAGAACCGAGAGTGTAATATTACGAGATTTTTGCCTCTTCATAGAATCTCTCAATCTCGAGTTAAATAGATTAATCTGCTCGACAACTCTAGTGCTCGCAATTACTTTGCAGAAGCAATATACTAAAGCAAGGCAAAACTTGCCATATCATTTAGATAAGTAAAACAAATTATTTTCTCTGTTAGGAAACTGCTAGAGTTAAAAGTTAGAAATTATACTCTAGGCTTAAACGTCATGGATCTGTGCTTGGTAAATACTTGTTAGTTGTTCTGTAATTTCAAATAAATTACTCAATAGTTTCATAACTTGAGACTAAAAGCTATGCCTACATGGAAACTGAATTTTTTTGTATCGTTGATTTTTACTAAATCACAAGTTTCATTTTGTTTATCCTAAGTATTCAGAAGATTTTTGCAGGTTCAAGAACATGCGCACGCGGTGATAAGTTAGTCAGAGATTAGTAAGAACATATACTAAGGACAAGCTGCGCATAATGAGCGTACATTAAGAGAATTTCTATTTTCCTTCAACTGGAAAACTAACTGGGAAACTTATGCTACTGCGTTTAAGGTGTGGATAATAGCATTATTATGTCTGTGTTTAGCAAATTTCTTGTGTAAAATATGTATTTCTCAAAAATATTAAGCTTATAATGGCTATTATTACCAAAAGCAGTTTACGCCCAAATGCACTTATTTTCGATTATGTTCCGGTTGCCTCTAATATTTTTCTATTATATTATTATTATTTTCTTCTTCTTCTTCTTATTATTATTTTCTATTATTGCCTCTAATATTTTATTATTAACATTTTTATTATAACATATTTGCAGAATAACAGAAAAATTTTTAATAGAAAAAATATAAGGAAATCTACATGCATTATTTATAATATCGTATGAAAATAAAGTATATTTAATGTTAAGTTTTGATTTGCCTTCAGACTGAAATGATTAATTGTACTATTTTTTGCCTTGATCTAAAAAAAGTGTAAACATTCACTATTTTTTTTATTTTACTTTACAATAAATATACATGCAAATATGGATGCAAATATTACTTAATCTATACTGTTTGTTTTGTAGAGAATGAAAGATGCCCTGATAAACAAAGAAAAATGCAATGTCTTCGTTGTCGATTGGTCAGACGGATCTTCTCCGTCTGTCTGGAGGTATGGCGTATTTACTTACGAGAAGGCTGTTGCCAATACACGAATGATTGGGGCTGAAGTCGGACTTTTTATCAAGCAACTGATGGTACAATTTTTATACGTTTTAAAGAAATTTTAAATGTTTATTTGAATATGCTGTACCTGTTACACTTCTTTTAGGATCCGAGATGGAAACTTGAGTAAAAATTCTGAATAAAAAGCACTTTTAAACTACCGCTTTTAAAACTATTCATATCAAAATTCCTAAACTTTAGAAACAAAAATTAAATTAATTAAAACCCATTTTAAAATACAGTATTAGTCGAAGATTTTGTAACACTGACGATACATTTACGTATCTAATCAGTTTCATCATCTTTTATCCGCATATTGATAATTCATATTTTCATCAGTTATGTAGTTCACATTCCTGGGTTTTGTCTCATATTTTCCAAATGCCTTTTTGAAACTTTTTCAAATATTTTTAACGTTCAGACAAAATTTGCCTCTTCTATTCTATTTGTATTATTACTTTAAACTTTTTTGTATTATTACTTTAACTAAGATCTATTTAACTAAGATTCTATTTGTATTATTACTTTAAACTTTTTTGTAGTTAATACTATGTCTTCATAAATTTAATTAATTTTTAGAAAACATATAGATATGTTACACAGATGCTTAATATATATATATATATATACCCAGAGCAGCGTAGTTATTACTTATTGATTCATACAGACATATATGAATTTACAAATAAGTACGTATATATGGATTTTGGTTTCACTAAATCTTATGACCTATTCATAAGGAAAAAAAAGCAATTTCTCTACTACACGAAAATAAACTTATTTAGTTATCTCTAGATTAATAGCAAAACATATATTTTGGTATATTTTTTGAAATAATATGCACAGACTCAAGTGTGTAAGCAGAAAGAAAAAGGCTAGAGGCGTTAAGTTATGATTAGTTAGGATATTTTGGTAACAAATGTGCTCCTATATTATTCTGATTTGTTTAAAATAACGTTAGTTTGTTTTTACCATTTTTCGTTAAGCCTGATATTATTTTAGAATCTAAAAGGAAACAATCAAATTAAAGGGAATAGTTTAAAGATTAAAATTTTGTTATACATATTTCTCTATTTAAGAAAAGAGTAGAGAAAGAACGTTTTTAAACAGTATAAAAATAGGGTATTATAAATATAATAGTGCTAAATAATAAAAAGTTCAATTATCCGTAAACATTTAAAATAATATTAGGCTATATACAATATTATTTATAAATTGATTTTTATTTTAAAACATTTCTAAGGAAAAAATTATATTCCTTTTACGAGCAATTTCTATTATTTACAAAAATTAATCTAATGTAACAAATCATGACGTACCGAATGTTCTGCGTCAGCCAAAGCAGGATATAGAACGTCAAAAAGGATATCTTTCTCCATATTACAAACAATGCAGATAATATAATCATAACAATTATAAGGCGAAGATATGCAGCACTTTGTATGAATATCGATTGCATTGACAAACAATGCAATCAATATTCATACAGAATACTGCATATCTTTGCCTTATAATTTGCCTTAGTTATCTAAGAAAACAAACTGCTATTTAAAAGGACTCCGCCGCGTTATTTCAAATAAACGAATTTCTAGTGTAATGCACACTGCAGGAAAAAAAAAAGACATTTCTAATTCTCCCGTTCTACTGAGCCAATTGACGAAACTCAGCTTGCGTTTTTCATGTCTCGAAAGCGACTTAGGATATGTATTAGATTTATACATAGCATTGTTCTGATATAGGTATTTTGATACAAAATCTGACATTTTTCCATATTTCGAGTTTGTGACTCAAATTATGACAAACTGCTAAGTTTTGTAAAGTCGCACGAGTAAGTTTTAAAAAATTAGCTCTCAAAATTTTAGCTACTCCATGTTATTTGAATTTGATATTTATTTATCTCTTTTTTTATTAAACTTATTTTATTCTTCCTTTCACATTTCAAAATTTAGGTTCATTCCAAATAAAATTCCCCCATTTAATATGATTAATTTTTAAAAACTTGTATTTTTAAATAATTTTTCGAAAAACGTTTTGAACTATAACCTATAATATTTTCCCATCTTCATAAATTAGATATATTTCTAAGCATACCTGCAAAAAGTTAGATATTTTTATCAAAATTTCCTAGGATATACTTGAATTTACATTTTGAAGTTTGGCATATTCGTTATAAGCGATAATAACGCCAAATGTATTTTACGAACTTTATTAAAATTATTTGAAAGTATGAACGATGACCATTTTTTCGCTCGTGTACAATGAAAAAAAGGAAAAAAAATAGGCTGCCATAAATTAAGAAGTTCGCCAAGTAAATGGTTCTTGACGAAAACTGAAAAAAAATGCACAGATAAATTTTTCAATTTCTTCATCATTTCAACTAAATACAAATTTATATGGCAGATTTGAGTCGAGAATGAAATATGGAAAGAATTGGGTTATAACCAGAGGGCATGTAAACTTAATTAACAGCAAAAGAAGAATATAATATAAGAAAAACTACATGAAGATTACATGTCAAAGTAAAAAGGTACATAAGCAATATCTTGGATAAGAGGAAAAGTTTGTCCATGCAAAAATCTGTCGAATCTCTTTTTAACTAACGGTTCAGATGTTAGATGTTTCAATTTTTGTTGACTGTTGCCATTTAGCGTTAGGTTATAGATGCTATTTCAGAAAAAGTCCGATTTTGTATCAAAATAACTATGTTAGAATAATGGCTGTATATAAATGTAACATATCGAGCTTTCGAGGCAAGAGAAACGCATTTTGAATTTTGACAATCGGCTCAGTAGAACAGAAGATATAGAACTGCCCCCTTTTTTTTGCTCAGTGTACAGTATTAGCAAAGAACACACATGTTCAGGAAATCTTATTCAGATTATTATAAAATATAGCTAACACTAATTTTCTGATTCTTTGTCTAATTAAAATTTCAGGACGCAACAAAAATTGATCCTAAGCTGATACATGTTGTTGGTCACAGTCTTGGGGCTCATGTCTCAGGGTATGCTGGTGAATGGGTTCTACGCAATGAAACAAAGTTGATTGGAAGAATAACCGGTAAGGTATATTCAGTTGCCATATTCCACCAAAACTTATTAACAACAATAACCTGAATTTATCAACAATCTAATTTTGGATAAATTTTGTGCAGAAAGATTTTACAAAATTCGTTAAATAAAGCGTTAATGCACGAAAGTTAAGTGATATTTCTCACTTCAGTTTAAACAGAGCCATTTCCATTCATTAAGAGATCGAATTTTATTGTTATTCATCTAATTCTATTTGTAATTTATTGCTAATTTAGAGTTAAGTATTTCTGATTTATTGTTATTCAGCTAGTTTTGAATATAATTTGTGTTGAAAATTTCTGCAAAATTCGTTTGATATTGCCAAAAAGCATTAATACACAAGATTTAAGTAATATTTCTCACTTTAGTTTAAATAGCATTTTCGTACATAAAGAGATCAAACTTTACTATAATTCACCTAATTTAGGAACTCTTCTTAAAGTAAAATTTACTTTACTTTATCTACTTTCAGAAATTTAGTGCAAACTGCGTGCGAAATAGTACTTTTTCCCAAAATCTGGAATAAAACATATTTAATTTATAAACCAAAATAGTTAGTCTTTTTTATAATGAGTTCTATATACTTTTTTATAATAATTTAATTATATAATAGGTATTTCTGTAAGAAATGATTGTAATATTTTACAACTGTTCTGGGTTCTTTAGAAATTATTAGGGATTTTATTGCTTGATGTTTTTATACACCAGAATAGTGAAAAGACTAATTTTTAGCATGTCAGATGAACGTCATCTCTGTTTACAGGCATGCGTAAAAGGATACAAAAAGAATCAAGATCTTAATTTTTATTATTATTGAACAATGAAATAAAATATTAGGAATCGCATAATATGCAACTAATCAAAGACTAAATATGGCTCTATATTTAAAACTGTTATTGAATCTGGCTCCGAGTGCTCGTTATCTACATATTTTCTGCAAATACTAAGGGATTGATCTCGTTCGTACACATCTCGAATTTTCTAATCTGTAATTATTTCATACGCCCCGTTTTATAAGGCACTGGACTTGTATGTGTTAGAGCGATATTTCATGCCAGTCATCATAATAAAACAGTGCGATTGATGCTATTCATTTTGAACTGGCACTGCACCTGATACTTTACTATATGAATTGCTAGTAGACTATGATATTTATCGTCAGGTCTCCTTGCCATGTGATGACAATTAAAACACATGAGAATCTTAAATATCAATAATAAATGAATTCGTGTCTCAGCTTTAGTGAGCGAACGATGGTATTTAACAAGACGAATCAGTTTTAATTAGACATCTTGATTGTTGAAGGAAATGGTATCTTGTGTGCAGAAGAAGTAGAAGGAAGTGATAGAAGAACAAAACAGAAAGGCAGAGCACGGTCTCCTACTGAAGTACCTCAGACATCAGCTTAAATACTAGTTTTTGCTTTATTTGCATAAAGCGCAATACTGAAAACTCATTCTGGTAAAAAATGTAGGTGGAAAACTAAGAAAGTAAAGGAAAGGTTTGTTCAGAAATAAAAATAACTATTATCAGAATAAAATAAACCTCTACAAAGTTCAGATCAGAATGAAGATCTAGGTAAAGAGTTTAAGACACTTTAAGGCGAAGGTCAACATGTATGTGTTATTTTCAACCAAATGTTCAAACGCATAAATCACAAATTCTCGCATTAAAACGTTTAGAACTACCGAATTCTCAAATGTGTATATCAGTCATTTTTACTATATAATGTTGTTTAAATTTTCTAAACTTTGATCTAAATTTATGAAGATCTTGACAGAAAATGATATCTATTGTAAATCTTAAAAATAAATCAAGAATTTACAGTTTTTTTGGAATGTAAGTTGTAAAACGAAAACTTCTGTAGGAAACGAAATGTTTTCCAATTTAAAACTATTCAATAAGCCTGAATTGCGCTCTCTACTTCACTGAATAACAGTAGTTCAACCCAGGCGAATGGATCGGCTCCTTGGATAATTTCCATGGCTTTTCCATGAGAACATGAATACTAGTCAGTTTTCCTAAAAACATTCTTCATGACAGCATCCCTTTTCATACATACGTAGCCCTCATACTTTGCCATACCCCAAACTTAAACCCTCCTTTGTCAGCAGAAACTGAAAGATTATTTGCAGACGTTTTAATGAAAAAATATAAAATACGAAATCAATCACGAAACTCCCTTAAAGAAATGCTCCTTTTGATGAAGAAAAAATTTAAACTTTCATCGGCTGCAAAACTTTTGTATCTTAATTGCATTGCTTACAAAATAACTAACTAAATAAATTAATTAAGTGAATAAATTAAGTGTCTAAGACTGTAATCCTTACTGATGATTATTGTGCAGTGTCTAAAACATTTCCTTTTATATTTGCCAACTATTCATTAATTTAGAAGTTTGACAGGGATTTTATTTATGATTATTGATAAGATTATAACATTGTGAAATGCCTTAAAAAGTGTAAACAAAAGTAAACCTAAATTTAGTTTTTTTTTTTTTTTTGTTTAACCTGGATTTATTTTGCAGAAATTAATAAGAAGCATTTTTGTAATATATTTGTCAAGATATTTGTAATATGTAATTAATATTTTTGTTAAAATACGAACCTCGCTATGAAATTCGCGCCCTTCAAAAGTCACGGTCTCTTGTTATTGATGAATTACATGCCAGTAGTTGTGAATTTATTAATAAAGTTATTACCTAACTTCACCCTTAATTCTCAGCCATTTGCTTTACTTTTAGAACGAATAGTCGCTGGCTTAATAAGAAATAATTTTATAGTGCATAACGCTTTGCTTTTTAAACGAAACCTTTTCCCTTTGATATGCTGTTGTTACAAATCTCACTTGTCTGACAAAAGTCAGCACAAGACGACGACAATCATCGTTACAAAGATTCAAATGCTCTTTTCGTTGGCAAAGCCTTGAGTACTATATTGGTGATAGTCCGACTTAGTTCCGCCCCCAATTTTGAGAGAGAACATCCCGGAGTCACGGGACCGAGAGTCTCCCATACCTTTTTTCCTACAATTAACCTCTTGAGATAACCTTCAATTCGCCGCATATTTAGAGTCCTCCCGTGCCACACAGACTTTTTATATTTACCAACATCCATGCGTTATCCGGGATTCGGACAAAGGCCTTCGGAACGGCAGTCAGCATCGCTAACCACTAGCGGTTCGGCAGGTTCCTCTGATATTTAAAATAAATTGTTTGCTAACAATTTAAAATAATTACGTGTATACATTCCAACTAAAAGTCCAAAAACCTTGTTTAATATGTAAATTTAAATTTTCTTATTACGTTGCTTATCTGAATGTATTTTTGTGTAATGTATCGAATTTAATTTTTGTATGTATTTTAAATATATTTTTTAATATATTTTTTCTTGTGAAATTGCATGAATACCGTAAAATGAAGATATATTTAAACTGTTCTTTTATTTTCAGAATTTTTTACATTACATAGTGAAATTATCCTAATTATAAATAGTTTAAGCAGGAATGTTTTCCCCCTTTTCTCAGGTCTTGATCCAGCAGGGCCTCTGTTCAATGGCGTTCACCCACTTGTTCGATTAGGTAGAGAGGATGCCGAATTTGTTGACGTTATCCACACGAACTATGCTCCAAATCGCTTTGAAGGTATGCGTATATATGTAGTTCAATACAAAAACGAAACCCTGGAGAATGATTTTTGGAAATTTAAACTTTTCCTTTACAATTGTAATTTCGATTTTAGAGCTAAAGCAACTTGGTACTTTAAATATGCGAAATGTATTTTAGACAGTATGAACAAGTTTTAATGTTTAAATCTTAATTAAATAAATTAGGCATTTGGACAAACAATGCATTATTTATATATAAACATTAAAATACAGGATTTAACTAGTTTTATTTTAGAAAATTTCAAAATTTTCCTCTCTTATAAATGCGCACTCGTTCAAGCACAAACACACATATTGTCGCGTGCGTACGGTTTGTAATAGATTGAATGCACACAGGTCCGATGATAAGTTGATAAAATTTATTTTGTCAAAAGCAACACTTCAGATGTCTGGAACGTTCCACAAAAATAGTTCGGTTCTAGTGTAGAATTAGATGCCCCTTCGATTAGCGACTTTTTTTTTTTTTTTTTTTTTTTTTTTTTTTTTTTTTAATTTCGCGATGAAATTTCATTGCTGGTTACCATGATAGTTTTATATCATGGTAACCAGAAAAAATAGTTTTAACTTTGTTTTAGCTTCTTGATTTTTTTAAAGTGAAAACAGATCGATGTGTACATGGACACAGCGTTCGTGCAATTCTTTGACTTCTTATTTTGGTTTTGTGTAGCGGCCATCTTGAGATTGCGCCTTCCTGGCGCCGATCTTGGCGTAAAAGAAGAATCGCCAAAAAATAAGGGGCACCCAATTGTAAATTCTTCTCAGTATCAATAGAGTACATTCAATAAGTAGTTACCTTTCAAACTGCTAAGAACTTTAAACGCAACGCAATCCAAAAGAGCTACTAAAACCCGGAGATACTTCCGTATTCCAAACTCACGCTAAATTAACAACTAACAATGACAACTCATCTAATCTCTCCTGTAATATATGGTTATCATCCTGCAGCCGGGAAATGTCTAGTACTTCTCGAAATTACTGGAATGCATATCAGGCCAGGTACGATACAGTTGCATATGAAATCAATTACAGTTATTCAATTACAATACCTATTACTGTGATACAGAGACCGTACCAAAATGTCACAAGATGGTTGCAAATTTTGGCGAAAAAAATTAGTCACCATTGCTACCTTGGCGATATCTCGCTAATTTGGCGAGATAGCCATTTACTCAGTGTTAAATCGATTTGCCTTGCTTTCTTATTTCCAGACAGAGCATCGTCTCTCTAGATTTTCATGTTACATTATAAAGAAAAATAGTACAATTTTACATATACTTTCACTAAAATTATCTATCTACGTACAAAATTCAGAACAGTATGAATACATATATATACAAATGTAATTTTAATTTTTAGTATAAATTGGTAAATTAAATAAAAGTTCCAGCAAGAATCGTTATCAAAAAATAAAATTTTCAGTAATTTAGCAAAAATAAACTTACTTCCATTGGCATTCTATCAAACTGTTATAATTATACGTTCGAAAAAAGACACGCTCTGGAAATGCCAGAATATATCTGAATTTTTTAAAACATCTGCCTAATAGGAAGACAAACATGCCAAAGCAAAACTTAGGTAAAATAACAACCATACCTTTGGCAACGATTTATGAAGAAATTTCTGTCGATTTCGAGGGCAATCCCTCTTTTTCCGGAGAAAAGAATTCAGCCGAAAAGATTTTTTTCTCCTGAAGAAGTGGGAACCTGTGTCTGATCGGCCCGAAATCGATAGAGTTTTATTTAAATCTATGCCAACATGAGGTTGCTTTTGTAAGTTTAAATAGCATTTAAATGTTTCTAGGCATAAATTAGAAGGCATATCACTTATAATATTAAACGTTAAACGTTAATATTTGAACTTTACAATACTATTAATAAAATTTGGCCAGTCTTCAGTATTATTCTCAAATGTGGATGTTCATCGTGTTTTCAAAGATAGAAATGTAGTTCCTATTCGTCTGTAGTAAACAGTAACTTCTCGCCCTTAAGAAACGAGATCATATATTTTGTCTCTCAAAATTGGGGACATTTATTCTTTCTTCATAATTAATTATGAATTTTTTACTTATAATAAACATGTTTGAGCTTTATAATTTAAGAAAAAAGAACATAATACGAGCATTTGTTACGGGATTCATTAGAACTAAATCTTTAATTATGGAAAAATTTAGAATATATTGCATTTCAGTTTGAAAATAAACTTTTTCTTCCTTTTCCTTGTAGGCTATGGAATCAAAGAAACATTAGGTCATTTTGATTTTTATCCTAATGGTGGAGAGGATCAAACTGGTTGTGTAACAGCAAGTGATGCGTACCTATCTTGTAAGTACTCATTTCGAACTTTTTTTAAAAAAAAGGATTTGAAAAGCAGATATATCTTCTTGTTACTTCTGCCATATCAAATAACAACCGCTCTGGGATACTTGTAAGTTTTCATTTGATATGTGACAAGAAATTTAATACACCTATGAAACAGTCAATAGAAATTTGGCTATTTAAAATGAAATCCAACTACACTGGGAACTATCTAATGGGCAAGAGTCAATGTTTACATAAGCATGATGTCCGTCAGCTCGTATTCAGTAACTCTGTTCTGACTGAGCTAAGTAATATATGGCATCAGAAACTTGGTTTATTACTTAAAATAACACTGCAAAATATCATAAAAAATCTGAAAGCTTTCAGATTTTATACTATGCTCAAACGGGCATTTTTTTAATGTTTTGTGTGTTATCTTTATTTATTAAATATTATGTTCTTCGCACTTAAACCATAAAATCTAATTCAACGGCAATATAGCAAAATAATTTAAAAAGTGCATATCATTTTAATTTCCAATACAGAGTATCGCGAGCTGGAGATAAAAAGTTTTATTGTTTTCCCCATACAGTTTTGCCATCGCTCACTTTGAAATCTTTGAGTTTCTTATTCAGAAACTCATAAATGCTTTGCAAAATATGAAATAGATAGTAAAACAAATTCCAAATTTGGGTTCCAGATGCCCATATTCGAGTGGAAAACGACGTTATTCAAGATTGGATGTCTCTAGGTAGAGTTGTTTTTTCACTGTGCGAGAAACAAATATACATTCATGCAGTTTCTTCATTATTTAATTTTTTAAATATAATGCAGGACTCTAATATTTGGTGGCAACAATTTGAAAAGTGAAAAGGCGTTTATAATGAACCAACGCAAAATGCCCAAAAAATTAATAATCCTTCTGGGCTAACGCCTTTTGATCTAAAAATTATAAATTACATTAGTTTGACGTGGTGTAAATTATATTAGCTAGCAATAAAAAAGATCTGCTAGAAATGAAATACGGATATAAATAATAAATATTTGCTTAAAATAGAATATAATCTTTAAATTACTAAGCAGTATGTATATTGATCAAAGTCACTCAAAGTGTCACTAAGTCACTAATTGCACTCGCTAAGTGCAATTTTATTTTAAAAGAATACATTTAAGATATTTTGTCATATCAAATGACAACTCCTCTGGGAACTGGCAATTTATTAAGCACGATGCGTTATAAATGCACAGGTTGAATAATACAGCAATAATATTATATAATGAAAACTCAGGAGGAAAAAAATACTACCTAGTTATAAACTATTTCTAATAGCATGCATAACAAACATAAACACAAGTATATTATCTACAGAAGCATAAAATTAAGAATATAAAGCTATTCTATATATCTGTGGACTTTTATTGTTAGCGATGCATTTATGTATATAATTATACCCAGGATACGTGAAAAGTTGACTATATTTTTTTTTTCTCGAAATACCGATTCTAGACACACGTACTTCCAATTATAACATTTTTCAAAGTAAGAAATGTTTCCTGAAAAACAGCTTTAATCCCGCGCTTCGAAGAGCTAATGGTAGATGGTAAACTAATATTCCGTTCGGTTCTCGTAAATAAGCATATAAAATTAATGAAACGCCTATTATAGCGTAATGAAATTAATATAAAATATTTCATACATTTAGGAGCAAAATCTGTGGGATATTCGAGAATGAATTTACTGACACGTACTTTTTCCTGACTCGTTCTTTATTCCTTTTCAATAGTTAATCTTAGGCAATACTGAAGAAACGTTTAGCTAATTTTAACAGGAATTCCAAAGGAAAACAAAAGATGCAATTTTTGTGATTAATGGTCACGTATTTGGTAGAAATTCTTTCTTTATTATATTCGTATCTCTCCTATGATGGTAATAATTACTAATTACAATTAGCTCAGGGTAGTTTGCGTGTGAAAATGCTGAAGCTTTAATAATACGTATCGAAGTATAATGAATTCTCTTGTGTCTTTATAATGAATGTTTTATTAAATGGATCTTTAGTTCGGAGGAAATGGCATGAAAGGTAGTATTTTGCATTTAGAGAAATATCTTTGCCAGGTATTGAAAACGCTTTTGTATTACTCTATCTGATTCTTGAAAATTTGAGAAACTTGAAGCGTATGGCTCTAGTCAAAACTTATGGACATAGCGACCTTTCTAGGACTAACTTGGATAACTTATTTTATGCCCGTAGAGATAAATCTGCCTAAGACGGTCGCGATTCTACCCGATTTTGATCTTTGCCAGAAATTATAATCTTAAGAGAACTGACTTCCAGAGACGTTCAGCATCTTTACATAACCCATAAAAGAGATATCTATGAAAGATCACTGCTTTTCAACTTTTATTACTAAGTAATCTATAAAAGATCATTGCTATTGCAATCGAAATCTATTGCAAGTTTTTCCCTCTCGTTTCATATTGTGACGTCGTGGATGCTTCAGTATCAACACTGGTAGTGGTTATCCATCACTTTTATTCACACAGCATAACACAGATACAATACTTAATTAATACATTTAGAAAACTATAGTGGATATCCGAGCTGGTGACACGATCAGAGACGTTAACGAAGATGGCACTCGTCATCACTGGACGAACTAAGTCTCCACAAATCAGCTCGTTGGCGGAGCTTCCCAAACTCTCTCTGACAGGCGTCTGACCAGAAGGCTCATCTCTTTACGCATGCGTATTACTCAGTTAAGTCGTTGCCATTCACAGTTCTTTAAAATAGGTGTTAAAATGAATTACAGTACTCGTAGTGTGAGGAGTTTGCTAACGACGTTCTCTCTAGTCAAGAGCATCATAGGTCTTTCTAGTCGAGAGTTCAGGAACGTTCTTTACAGACTAATTCCTTCCGCCTCCAGATTTTGTTTTCCTCGGACACAGAGGAAACAAAACTTTTTTTTAAGTTCCTACGGAATAAAATACAAGTTCAGGCAGGCGTTCGCTACTTCCGCCTCCAGGTTTTGTTTCTCCGGACACAGGAGAAGTAAACCTTCACAGTTCACAGTTTATGGTTTCAATAGATTGTTCAACATTTTACCAGTTAATTTTAAACCACACTGTTAAAAAGGCTCTCCACTCTCATTACCAGGCCATCATAAAAAATACATATAACAATACATATACAATATATGAAAAACCAACACAGAAATTTTGTCTTTATTAATAAAGTTAACAATTTACTATATAGTATGAATTTAAAAAAAAATACAATATACATAATCAAACAACAAGACAATTTAAAAGAAATGATAACTAGTCTATTTAACTGGCATGTACAGAGTTTCTACTTAAGCAGTTTACATTTAAGTTGTCACTTCCTTTTTTATGATGTATCGTAAAATTATAAGATTGCAAGGCTAAGGCCCAGGCGTAATAGTCGGATCCATTTCTACCTGAATTATTTTTTAGCCATACTAGGGGATTATGGTCCGTTTGAATGAAAATTTAGTCCTGCCCATCTATATTACCCTTTCAATTTTTTTTTACTCATACAGAATTGCGGCACACTCTTTTTCAGTGGTGGAATACTTCCGCTCACTATCTGTAAATTTTTTACTGAGATTTTTACAATATGGGATGTTCTTTCCCTTTATCATCCTTCTGGGCGTCCCTCATCTGATGACTCAACACTATATCCTGATCTGATGCGTCTGTCTGTAGCATATAAATGGTTTAGAAAAATCGGGTGCATGTAGCACAGGCCTACTAGATAGCTTTTCTTTTAAGGATTTGAATGATTCATTACATTCATCATTCCAAACAATTTTACCCTTTTTTTATTCCCTTTTAACAAATCTGTCAAAGGTGCGGCTATAGCAGAAAACATAGGTATATATTGTCTGTAGTATCCAGCTAACCCTAAGAAAGCTCTAATCTCAGTTTTAGTTGTGGGAACAGGAAAATTTTGAATCACTTCTATTTTTAGTTCTGCTGGAGAACGTTTTCCTCGACCTACTATGTGACCGAGATATTGCACTTCTTGTGCAATTGCACTTAGAGGGTTTAGTAGTTAAATTGGCTTTTCTTATTCTTTATAAAATTTCATGTAAATGTTGTAAATGTTCCTCCCACGTTTCAGAAAAAATAGCAATATCATCTAAATAAGGGGTCGCATATTTGTCACATCCGCACAATATTTCGCTCATCCTTTTACTAAAATAATAAGGAGCATTTTTAAGCCCAAATGGCATTCGCAAAGGCCTATATACGCCAAAATTTGTAGCAAATGCAGCAATTTTCTGAGCCCTAGGGGTCAGCGGAATTTGCCAATAACCTTAGTTAAGTCTATCAAAGGTGATAAATTTGGCTGCTGCAACAGTTTCAACACGTTGCTCTATATTGGGGATTGGATAGAACTCAGTACGCGTTATTTCGTTTAACTTTCTGTAATCAATACACGGCCTAGGATCCCTACCTGGTGCTTCAACAAGGATCATGGGTGAAGTATACTCAGAGGGTCCTGGTTCAATAATCTTGTATTTTAACATTTTTTCAATCTCGACTTTCAAGAATTTCGTTCTGTCGATTTGTCATTCTATAAGGCTTATGCTGTACGCGTTTGTCACTGATTAGTTCGATATCATGTTCGACTAAATTTGTTTTCCCTGGAATATTCGAAAATATAGCAGAAAACTTTACCAACAACTTTCCCAACTGCAGGATTTGTTCATCACTAAGTCTTTCTTTAAGATTATCTTTTGCTATTATTTCATTAAAATCAAACACATTGGGGTCGGTTAACATATAAGGAAAATCCTCCTCTAATTCCGAGGGTTCAACTATCTCCTCATTGTCAAAGAGCACCATATTCAAAAGTTCAGGTCTCTTATGATAAGGTTTTAACATATTGATGTGATACACTTTATTCCCTTCCTGATTCCCTTCAAAACTAACCACATAGTTTGTTTCTGATAATCTTTTCTCTATTTTTTCCCGGCCCTTTCCATTGAGGAGCGAG